AACTTTTCACTCTGATATTTGATAGCAGATATACGATAATGGACGGCATGAAATATGCACAAAATGTATACTATTTTACCTTTTTGTAGCGATTGCTTCACGTTAGAAAGTATAATAACGCACTCACTCGAGAATAAACTTCACTAAATAGCACTTGAGCTTCTTTTCGTTATACTAATACCGATATTCCATAGAAAAATTGGAAAAATGCTGGAGGTAGCAAATACACACGTCTACCCAGCAAGCGCCATATTCATACCCATTCTCAATGTACGAATAAGAATGAGAATGAACTTCTGTGAATTCATGCATTTCTCAGGAAACATGCACATTTGTGGTCGTACATGCTTTCCTGCTTCATTCCTCGCTCCTTTACGACCTGCAGGGCCACGTTTTTCACAAAATGAGGATACGAAAGATGAGAAGGGACCAAAAGAAATTGAGAAACACGAACAACTCGAATGTGTAGAGAAAACTTTATTCTAAAAAAAAGCGAAACAGTTTTCAATATTCCGATTACATCTCGGCATGCAATGTGTATTTTTTTTATCTGACAAGACTGAACCTCTTAATTCAATATCAATATAGGAACACAAGGTGAATTGGGATTATATGATAACCAACAATATAATCGATCACTACAACACTCAAGTCAAGTTCAATCATTTTCAATTTGATACTCGAATGATTGGCATTTCGATAACAAATAATCATTAGGTAATACTGTCAGTAGGTTAATCGAAGAAGTAGTACGTGCCTTTTGCTGAAGCATTCGAAATATTCTCTCCTCGTTTCTATCAAAAGAAATTATGAGTATCACTTCAATATAGGTGTAGTGAGACAAATCAGATGATTTATCAACAGAATGTTTTGAGTCTGAGTCTGAGTCATTAAATATACAGTGTGTCTTGCTCTTCAAGAATACTCCCTGATATATCTGATACTGATGATGCGATTCCTTTGAAATTTCGGTGGTGATTATATGATTGCCCAATGAAGTAGGTATTCAGCAGGATGAACAGGTTCATTCGCCTTTGGCGAGTGATATCAAGGGGTAGAGATAAGGCCTCCATTCGGTAAAAATGAATGAGGGCTTATTTTGAATAACTTCCTCATAAGATTGAGAATCAGCATCCCCTAAAACCACGCAATTCAAATTCTGAAAATCTCAAGATGACTTCAAAATCTAGCTTCTCATGACTACGCCCTAAATTGTCAGCTATCAACCCTCTAGTGGTGACGTAGATTCACGAAACATGAGCGGTGACGTCGATCTGAGAGACATTCAATATTTTTTTGGTGGTGAACAAAAATACATTATATCGAAATGGTGTCTGTTGATATGATCCTGACCAAAGTGAACATCATCGAGAATCACATCATCTCATTGAAAGAATTCAATTCAATTTGAGATCCTGTCCATCGGGTATACATGTTTTCATGGGATGTAGAATTCGTGGTTGTTATGCTCCAAATATGAATGATTCCTGTTAGAAATTATAAGTTATAAGCATAAGAATATATCATACCGTTGATTGAATACGCTCAATTTCACATGAATGAATTGAAAAACGAAATAATAATATAGCAGATACGTTATTTCACTGGTGACGTCGGTCTGACAGTTCGAAACCAATAACAACTGACTTTCTGCTGACGCCAGCGTTTTGTGTTTCACAGTGCGTGAAGTGATTAGAAAGAGGTTGAGCAAGAGGAAAGCAGAGGACAAATCGAGCGATAATGCCAATATTGCATGAATAGATTCTGGTCGGTCTTAGAGACCGCTGGTCATCACTGCAGGGTTAGTGTATTTTGAAATTATGATGGTGATTGTATGTTATTCTTCTCACATACAATATGCATCAAAATTTTCAAAGAATCGCATCATTATGAACTGATATTTCAGGGTGTGATCCTGCAAAGCTACAATTCGAAAATGTTTCAGCTCTTGGGATCTTCAAAATAAAGATTGGAGGGTTTCTGGTAATGGTGAATCTGAATCTCATAGACGAGGTCATCTTGAATGAGCTCTGATGTCCGTTTCCCAAACAGTGATTGTGATGAAGAAAACAATAATAATGATAATAATTCGTCCTTAATTCCTCAAAATAATACATGGTTATATGGGGCAAATATTGTATGTGCATTAGGCAAAGTTCACCTTGGAAGCTTTTCTCACACCCAGCCTATGCTAAAAACCCAAAACCCAGAATCTGATGTGAAGTATAATTTAACAAATAGCTTTTTATTTTCATACAGAATTGTGGCAAAGGTGATTGTTTGAATTCTCTTGGTGATGAGTTATGAATTATACAGTATAACAGAGTTGTAGTTAGAGCTTATCGCAAATATAGACTCGGTATGATGAGATATTGTTAATTTTCGATGAAATCTAACAATCATATTATGGAAATTTTTTCTGAAAATTAGTTTTTCTGTTAGTCAGGCTCGAGTCAAATCCTCAAGCAACTTGTTGATGAAATTGATGAAAAAATATTTCAAGGAATTGCTTATAGCTCACTCAAATTTAGAATGAGTCAAAAATTCGAATTCTTAATAATCTGGATTCCGTCAATGGAGGCCTTCATTGTACTCCTCAAAATTGAACGCCTTTTGTGGATGGAAGTTTTCACCCTGCTCAATAATTCATTGTTTTTTGTACACAATTACCACCAGAAACTAAAGAGAATCGCTTCATTCATAACACAGTTACTACAAAATGTGGCGGTCCGCGACCATCTTGAAACTAGATAGTGCTGTCTACATCAGTGGGTATCTGAATATGTCCAGGAAAAACCAGTTCAGATCATTTTTGCACACCCTGTACCAATTTTAGGAATTATTCGATCTCGAAATCATCTCAGCGAGGGCGATCCGGAAACTGAAGAAGGAGTGCGATCAATTTGTGAAGATGTGGATGACGCCATAACACGAAGATTATTCACCAAGAATATCATGATAAGATTATCATTTGAGAAAATATTGAACAATGTTGAAAAGGAATAATCTCACTGGAATCATGAACATACAAAAATATATATATATTTATATAATGCAATACATTGAAAATTCGCATTATCTATTTGATGAGAATATCAACTCTTTTTCAGTTTATTCAATAGGAAACAACTACTTTCCTGGCTATATACCACTACGAACTTTGAATTATATCTATTGAACACACGATAAGAGTTTGAAAATAAATTATACAATCTTCTGAAATTGAGAATTTGCATTCTCCTTCAGACAAAAATATGTATATGCACACATTATTCTGAATTTTCAACAGGGGGTTCAAACTTGAACGATGAAAACTTGTGATTTTTATAGACCTCTAATCGCAGATTCGTGACAGAGTCTCAATTCAGAATTTTTTTCCACGCCCTGTATGATGAATGACAATAACAATAACAATAATTGAAAATCGTTACCAAATATTCCATCCCCTTTGATTAGGTAGCCAATAATGTATCTGTGATTACATCATGAACGCACAATATATAACATATTGCGATATGGGTAGTATGGTATTGTATACAGGGTGTTCATTTCAGGACTTCCCACCCTAATTTTCTCGAAATGTGTGTATGTTTTTGAAAAATCCCGAGACAAGTCAACTACATTTTCGAGGAGGACATGGTTCTAAAATATTTTCAGCCCCGCGGCGTTGCCGCTTCTATCGAAAAGAAGCAACAACTTTGTTATTTCAAATGGAACACCCTGTATTTCATTGCATTTTCAGATTCTCCCTGAAAAGCTGATTTCATCAATGCATCACACTTGGGGTCTAGCAGGAATGATTACAGAGATATAGGGTGTTCAAAATCGAGATTTTACAACTTTAGGATTTTTTTGAGTCGAAACTATTCATTATTGGTCAAAACGGCCCTTATGTCCTTATATCAACTTTCGATTTACTATCTACTGACATTTATTTGAAACAAATACAGGGTGGTTCAAGATTCAGACTTTTGATCACCCTGTATTTGTTTCGAATAAATGTCAGTAGATAGTAAATCAAAAGTTGAGATAGGGATATGAGAGCCGTTTTGACCAATAATGAATAGTTTCGACTCAAAAAAATCCTAAAGTTGTAAAATCTCGATTTTGAACACCCTATATCTCTGTAATCATTCCTGCTAGACCCCAAGTGTGATACATTGATGAAATCAGCTTTCCAGGAAGAATCTAAAAATGCAATAAAATACAGGGTGTTTCATTTGAAATAACAAAGTTGTTGCTTCTTTTCGTTAGAAGCGGCAACGCCGCGGGGCTGAAAATATTTTAGAACCATGTCCCCCTCGAAAATGTAGTCGAAGTGTCTCGGGATTTTTCAAAACATACACACATTTCGAGAAAATTAGGGTGGGAAGTCCTGAAATGAACACCCTGTATAACTAAATAGTTGAGAATTTTTTCAGGAACGTATCGAAAACATCAGTTGAAAATGGTTTCACGAATACTTTACTATGTATGTATTTATGTATAGGGAAATCAATATCACCAAGTTCAATCTTATTCGAATATTTCACGAAGAAGTATCCTCAATTCTTTTGTACATCCGATAATAGTGTATAAAAAATTGATTTGCCCTTTTCTCGATATATCCAGAGACCTATGAATAATTTTGAAAATATTCTGAGGCTGTTGAAATGACCTTTCTGAATGCGCAACTTATTTCATTCCGACAGAATTCGTATTTCCTACTGTTCCTGAGATTCTCATGCTGTGAAACCTAATCTTGGTCACACTCTAAGGAAGTCACCGATTGAAATATGGAAGGATAATCTGATTAACGACTGATAGTAGCGATTCCTACTCGAAAGTAAGAAACAGAGTGGACCCGTTGCAAACCTTCTGAAGATCATCTGATCTCATATATGCAAAAATGTTCTTTATCATTTGATGCCCTGCCAAAAACACGTATCAAGTAGTTCAAGTGGAGATTGATATCCTAATCGCTTATCTACTATATAAAACTCATTAACATTCAGTTTCAAGTTGATTGCGTTCTCTTGCTACCTACCGTGAAGATTCGTTGTTGGAATATATAGATGAGTTCTATCAATTCAAAATCAAAAATATGAGTTCAATAACATTGTTTACCTTCACACTTATTGGCCTACTTGGTCTCGTCTTCGGCAAGGTGAGTGGATGATGATGATATTTGCAACAAATGATATCGAATTGAGACATGATATAACATTGAATGTGCTTCCTGATCTGCGAATATATCAACAAGCAGTTCGAATTCATTCTGTACACAAATGGAAATCGAATGTTGAAGTGAATTTGTATACGAGAATAGACCCCCTGAACATTTGACTCCAAACGAACAGATTTGGTTGGATGGTCAGCAAGGACGTGTCTCTGCACCGGAAGGAACGTGCCTTAACATTTTCCAATAACTGTCATGAACCTGCGCGTGTTTGTGCTGCGAATATTTGAATCACGACGCATCTTGAGAGTCGATTAAAGCAACCATAACTGTTCATCCAAGAAGGTTATTACATAATGTCTTTTTATATTCGAATAATCAATGATTTTACAGTTGATCAATCAGGAAAGCCGAAAGTTACCTTTGGAGAAGGATTTGTCAGAGTTTATCAAATGTAGCTGTCAGCATGAGAATTTATGAAACTCCTGCCAGAGATCTGACTCAAGAGATCGGCTGATGAAACGAACAGATTGCTGTTTTACGGACTCTGATGGGCAAACGTTAGAGGTTTTTTCACGGGAATAGTTTCCTAGCAGTCTGCTCCCGGAGGACCGTCAGCAAATTTAACTTATTGTTGCATTGAAATCACGACCATTAGAGGGTGACTTGAAGAATGTCCCAATGACGGTCCTCTCACATTCAGTAGAATTGGCAGTGAATTATTTCTTCCTATTCAAGTCTCCGGAAGAAGACAGAATTTCACCTGCCCTCTCATAAAAGGGCGAAATAAATTTCCTACCCATTCTGGTTACATTATCTCGAGCGAGTTTGGCGTAGAGCTATATTATGCTGGCCAACAGCGAAAGTTGTGTACATACACAAATCGAGTACGGCGAATCACTCCCTACCCAAATCTTTCCGACCGATCAGCATCACCTTGTCTCTATAAATAAAATCTAAGGAGAACATTTTTTGTATCATCATCGTCAATATGCCTACCAAACAGGCGAATCAACGGATTCAGCACTGAACAATCTTGTAGGAAAAATCGGCCATCCCTTAGATCATGAGGAAATTGGGCTGGCAGCTCTCTTGGATATAGGAGGAGCGTTCAATAATGTTTCACCACAATCACCCTAAATGGCAATGCACGGTGAAGGAACGAGCAGTCAAATATGCAACTGGATCAAAGCGATGATGGGAAATTGGTACGTCATATCATCACTGCATGGAAATGAATTCGATCAGATTCAGAGCAGCAAAAGTCTGTCCACAGAGCAGGGTTCTTTTTTTTTTATTTTACTCTCTACTAAATTATCTTTTCATGCAGGAGATGGACTCCTACTGCTATGCAGATAGTCTACTCCTGATTGTGAGAAGACAATTTGGAGTGACGATCTCAACCGGCCTACAAGAAGCCCTTGATACCGTGTATAGATCGTGCGAGGAGCAGCAGGTGTCTGTAAACTCCTGAAAAACTGTAACCATCATCCTTCTCATCAGAAGGCAAAACCTAGATGGAATCCGTCAGATAGTCCCATATGGAGAGAGCATTCCGTTTGCGGCGGAGGTGGAATATCTCGGAGTCACTCAATATGAAATACTTATTATCGCAATGTCATGTTCACTTCAACAGGAAAAAGGTCTTGTGTGAGTGTCAAAATCACAGCGCCTCTTGGAATCTTTGATACCTGAATTTCATCGTCCTATATGGCAATATCCATGTATCAATCCAACCTTGGATGGTCCGTCTTCCAGATATATCATGGATATGGCAATTGTGTAACATATGATCTAGTAGATATATGCAGGTAGAGATTCATGTTATTTGCAGCTTCATTCCATATGGTTTCAAAGCATGAGCAGTTTTGGGAATTCCGAAATTGACGTTCATTGGCATAGGGACAATTTTGGCAGAGTGACTACTGGTCTGTTCAGACATTTCGAACCAAAATTCGGCGAAGTGTCCGAATCCCGTATGAGCGCTTTCGACCGCTCATCCACCATCCTCATGCTATCACCGTGCAGCATATTTCAACTATTGATAAACATTCAGCAATATTCCATAGCATCGTCACTTCCGGTGTTTCAAGCAACGCTCAGGGCGAACGCTCTGATTCGGCTGAAAACCACGAACAGTTTGAATAAATTCGAAAATTCGATATGTTTTTATTTTCAACGATGAAGAATGAAGGTTCTCTGAATCCGTTCTGTTTCTTTGTCTTTTATAGCCCATTCAGATTTTTTTGTCCATTTTCGGAATCCCCAAGAACTTGAGTAACTGTTGAATTTCTATACAGAATATCTTCACAAGGTGAGCTGAATAACCTGAGAACATTGATATGCGTACCATCAAATTCGATTGAGGTACTAATCAATTGGAATTAGAATTTCTTTATACGAAAAATTGCATGATTCCTGGGAAGAATGGGATGTTTCGCATGAATTCGAACTGGGAATTAGTTTCTCTTCTGCTATATACCATTGCTGTTTCTTTATTCGACACGTGTGTGGAAATAAATTCGATTCTTTTCATTCTATTCCATATTTTATTCCACCTCGGATGGTTATGTGGTCGAGATAACGCCAGTCAAGAAATCAGCTGTTTTTAGTCCTGATAGAAACAATAATTCAACTTTTTGAAAATATCTCTCTATCACCTCAAGATGCCGCTTGACATATTGCCATGTTGCTATGAGCCAAAGTCTCTGAGCGTATCAAAGTTGAACTGGCTTCTTGTTGGGTCAGGTTTTGAGTAGATGACATTCTCGTAACTGCTATCTACTGAATACCTCACACTGATGAGGAGCAAGAGCATGGAACCAATCTTCGGTTCTGAGCGTGATGCCTCGCTACAATCTGAAGGCAATGCAAGATTTTGAAAATACACACTTGCGATCAGTATTCATTCCCACGAATTATTGATAAGATTCCAGAATAATGTGATTCGATATCATCAGCCAAGAACGTGGTCGATTTCCTTCTGTCATCGACAATGAATCGCATCACGGTAGGTCCTGGCCGTCGTAAAAGGCGAAGGAATTAACGCCTATAAGTGATAGATGGCTAACACCATCGCCCGGTGCGATACCACCACATCGACTCCAAGCACAGTGGAATGGCTTTTACCCATGTTCAGTAGCTGAATAAAAATGGAAGGTTAGGTTATCCTAAGTTTCCTGTGGATAGGGCAAACGCTGCTCCTTCACTGTGACCCCAGATGGGTCTATTGTGGCTCACCCTCATAGAGGTTACAGTTTCCTGTATCCAAACCTTCTTACACAGTGCATGGTCGAGTTAGGTGAGATTTGTCTAAAATCGTCTGGTTCTGGATTGGTTGAGCCAAATATATCAAATTTGAGCATGAATATGTCTTATACAAAGCAGAATCGACAGTCTGCTCGTTGTCTCAGATCCATCCGTCCTACGTGGTGTATCATCTCTTGAAAAGACATATCTCAAGTCGCGGGTGACACCTGCTCTTTTCTAGGATCTGCCTGGTTGTATTTTTCGATGCTCAAGGCAGAAGCGCCTTCGAATAAGTCAATCCTGATAATCCACACATTCACATAGGTCTCTTTCCCTCCGCCTAGTCCAAGGAAATTGTTTTGGTCGCACTCGCGGTCACCCCAGAGTGAATTTCTGGTCCTATGAACATGGATTTGGTTCCCTGTTTGGCGAGGATGTCGACTTTCTCGTTGCTCTCCATCATGAAGATGGAAATATGCGCAATCAAATTTTCGTTCACGAGATATCATCATTGAGGATATACCAACGGTATTTCTCAAATTGAAAATATCGAGTATGTATAGTAGTATTCATAGACCACAATGAATCTCCATGGACTGGTTGCTGCACGTTCTTCGAATATTATCAACAGCTCGAATATTTGGGAGACTCATCTCATATGACGTTTCCATCCCCTATAAACATTCAGCTTATCATACTTATTCAAATCACATTGATTTGAATCATACTCCTATGAAATTGAATGATTCAATATCTGTTTGTTCATAACTTTTCAGGGTGCTGATGATCTGATTGTCAAGTTGAACCAACCACAGAGTTTGATACGAGGCCATGCAATGAAAAGCGAGAAAGGAAACACATACTACGCTTTCCAAGATATTCCCTATGGTGCGCCTCCAGTAGGAGAAAAAAGATTCAAGGTGAGCGCTTGACAGTATTGGTCGAATAATTTTAATAATTATAAATCGATTGGATAAAGAATGAGCCAAAACATGGAATTTATTCGCATGAATTCTAGCAGTGCATATCATGGATATCTTCTGGGCTGCATCGGAGAATCATTATCCGATTAAATATGAGATGTTTTAGTATCGATAATAATAAGGGCCTCCACGAATAAGTTAACAGAGAGGCTGACACAACCTTCACAATAATTATTTGATTCATATGGAATTATTTTATTCGTACAGTGTCACGTACTCAAGCCCGAGACACCCTGTAAAAATTCATAGTTTCATGTCGATTGTTTTTTATTTGTTGAGACGATTGAACAAATTCGCAAATTATATAAGGATGTTCATGGCGTACTTTGTTATAGTTTCACAGTTAAGAATTGCAAATCATCATCAGCGATTCTTTCCAAATTAAAATCGACCACACCACTGAATTCAGCATCCTTCAAATAGGTCAAGCGCGAAATTTCATCTGAAAATTTCGGTTTGCAACACAATCAATGCAACGTTGACTTTGGTAAATCATAATTTTTTCTTCAATTTCCTAGGCAAATTCCGGAGAGGTGCAATATTGCCAACACAAATGACGAAAATCATTGAGGTTCCTGGTAGCCATTCGAATGCATAACACAAATTATCATCAATTTCCAACATCTGGAGTGGAGAGTACCGACTCGGAATACCCTGTATTGCCTTTTTTGTCGGTGTCAAATCGCTTAAAGGTCGTGCAAAACCTGTGTTTTGATATGTACTGGATATTGTACAGTATTATTGTTACTTGCTTTCCTCATCCCTCCCCCTGAGATTATTTTGGCAAACGCGCCTGACTATGAGTAAGGAGCATGCGCCCTATCTTACATTCTTCGGCTCTGTCGTACACAGCTAGTGTGTTGCGTTTTCCTTCTATCGCATCAAATAGTACCCGCAATGCTCCTCGGCTCACACTCGATTTTTCAATTCAAAAGCCTGGCAACCCCTATTCATGAACGGATCTTGCAGGGCAATCATATACTACTGTGTTCGTTATAAAATTGCCGACTCGCCATAACTGCTCCTTGAAGCTCTAATTTCGGAATCGACAAAGGTTTCAGTGGAGCTACTCTTGTCCTTGCTGTAATGAATAAAGTATTAATTCCTTGTTTCCTGAACACCCGAAGATAGGATACTGCAGCAAACGCCTGCTCACTGCTATCTAAGAACGTGTGAATTTCAATTCTTTCAGCATTTGGTATCATCTAGCTATATCATCTTGGAATCTTGATATCAGCTATCATTTGCAAACCTTGTAGCCATTTTTTGTAGTGACTCACCAGGTTCTCAGGAAGTTCTGTATCCTAGTCTGTTCCACTTCTCCAAATATCCTGCATTAATATTTTTCCTTTGATGGTTAAGCTCGCGAGAAACCCAAGGATCAAAAAGAGACATCACAGATTTTAATACTTTTCTTTTCGTTGGAATTTCGTTCTTCACGTCTTCTAGATTCAATCTGAGCGAGAAATGGTCATCATCCGTATTCCACCAAAGTCCCAGTACACGATAAAGAGGACTATTATCAATATCTCCTGATGTATTTAAGAGCATATCTTCTTTCAAATTTCCCTGGTCCATTTTTGAATTAATCATCCAGTTAACAACTTCAAAGAGAGAGAGAGAGAGAGAGAGAGAGCGCTCTGGAAAAACCGGGAGACAGGACACAACACCCCCACAACTCAATCATCCCAAGTTCCATTCCTACAGTAGCAGAATAACGCGAATAAAAATTTACCCCATCTCTATATTATTATGTTCTTGATATATGATAGCAGGTTGAATGGATCTAGATATCCAATAATCGTACAATGCTTATGCATGGAAATGATACCTCAATATTTGTCCAATTCCAGCAAATCTAAGTAAACAAACAGAGGTCATTTCCAACGTTACCTACATTGAATCTTCCATTTCATACCGAAAACATGAACATGAAGGGGGATAGCAGAATGATACAAACATCTCTGATGTTGCAATTAAAGACATGTGTTATCCTAGGTAAGCATATCGGTGCAATTATTACTATCAACATGCCTGTTTGTACACGGCAACCATGTAATAGGGACCAGAAAAATATTGGCAACCTAGCTGTTTCATATTCCATATATTATATGCTTTCCATTATTTTTTCATTCATTTGGTAAGCAAGTTGTGAAATTCATTAGGAAATCAATTTTTTCAAATTTTCATTTATCATAGTCATGAACATATTTTTTATGGCAACCCTATAGGTACATGTTCAGGAACATATTATTTTATTCGATAGAATATAATTTTCATCCGGCAAGCAGATGAGTGAAAGTCGACCTTACTTGGGATCCTCTACTATTATAGGTTAGATTGGTTGAGTTGGTTAGTTTACGTTCATACGGAGTATAATAATTAGGATTTCTATGTAATCTGCTTTCAATTTCATGATTAAATGATTCGCATTTCAGTATTAGGGTGATTGAATTCAATTCCACCATATTGAAGTGGGTTGGAGATCGCCAAGAAATATTCAAGACAAAGCTACTCAGTATGAATACTTTTCATAAAGTAGAGTTTTTTCATTGGAACTGGAGAAAACTGAAGTGCGTCACAAGTGCAAGATACTCAATACACAATAACTCGGTTAACCTTGGAACATCGGTTTAGATGGTTGCCAAAAAATTACACTTTGGCCGAGTTCGAGAATCACGGAATGAAGTCTAAAAATCTTCGTTACTCCTGACGAATTGTTGGCTAGGATTCCTGTGAATTTTGAAGCAGAAAAAAATTAGGCGAATCGAATGAAAACATATACACCGTGTCCAAGATAAGGATGCGAATACATCCTTATCATCGACACACTGTATGCGCGATACAATCCATCACCGATATAACTGTGTGAATTCAAGCTCCTGCCACATCAGTTAATAGTAGGATAGTCGAAGATTTCAGAATTTCATTAAAACCTAGAGAATTTCCGATAAATCACCGATTTATCGAGAAAACACTATAACACCTTGATGCAGTTCAACTCCCTGTGATTCACCAACAAATTCTATATTTGATGGGTATATAAACTGATATGTCCCTGAAATTTCTCGAACTCCCAACCACTTCACTTTGTCGAAAACAAGAATCATCACCCTCTGAGAAGGGTTCACGAGCTGCTGCGAGCTAATATTTCCCAACATATCTGGTATCCGTTGAAGACTTACGACTGTGATGGAACAAGTGTTCATAAGTGAGTGAGGTGACTGACTCATTGTAATTAGCAAGTATGACGAAGATGATGAATGAAAAAGGGATAGAAATGATTATTTTATAACTGTGGAACGACATCTATCAGGATTTGGATGATCATCTTTCGAATTCCATCTTTCAACTATGATCTTGTTCCATTTCGAATATATAATGTAACCTCTTCAAAACGAAGAGTGTTATTCGAGAAGGTGAGCTAATTCAAGTTGAGAACCTTGACCTCTCACGTTCATCAGATAACATTTCGTAGTTGAAATGCTTTATTCAGCAGTTATCGGATGTTTTCAAAGAGATATATGACTGGATTATTCTTGGTGTAGATGGCAACTTTTGAACGTCTTGGGGACGTCAATATCTCATCTTCAAACACCAACTCATCTCATAAACTTTCAATTTGTGGGGATCCCAATAATGATTCTGGCTCAACACACGGAATTTCACCAATCACAGTATTTCTTGTCAGGAGGCACAAAATTCGTCCGCAAAAAAAGGAGTCGAACATTATCCAAATGTGAACAAACCGAACGCGGCTTATATATCCCTTCATTATGTTGCCGTATTCACACCTACCTAACTATTTATATCATTCTGGTGATCGATATATAACAAGATTGAAGCATCGTGACTGCACAATAGATTCTTACAGAATGAAGCATCAGATGGCAGCAGCTTATTCAAGGAAAGAGGTTACGATTCATGTCAGGTCATTTCCAGGTACTTAACTATCATATTTTTTCGTCTCAATGTTTCATTTTGTTGAAAACAGCCACAAATGAGTGGATTGTAGCTATGATGAATCCCATCCTCTCGAATATTGATCAAATCATGCCTCAATTTCAATAACGGCGTCACACGTTAGCATGATAGGACATTATTGTTATTCAGTTTTTTCATTCATCTTTTCATGTCGTGAAAAACAAGTTATTTCAAAGCAAAAATTTTCGATATCATTCACGATTTCTTGTTTATGTATATGCTCTTGAAATCTGGCAACCCAAGTGCAAAAAATGTGATGAGCTGGGCATCGGACGTCATCGGCATGCATCGGTTGCTCCTTTTATTGTTTCTTCGTGCTTTTCGTTGTATGACTGACAGGATAGTTATCATTTGATATCAATTAGCGGTACGTTTTGATATACTACTTTCCGATATTGTGCGACGGTGAATCCATCGAAATCTTCATGAAATCAGCAGAACTTTCTTTGTTATCACAATGGAAGTTTTGATGAAATACAGTGAATCAAGGTAATTTCGAATATTCGTGGATATGAAAATTCATTTGTTCCAAATGGTCTGAATCCGAGTTGAGCACCAAATGGATGAATGAATGAATGATTGCTGAAATAAATTAATATCATTTGAAAACAACGTTTCCTTGTATTACATTGTTCATCATTCAAATGACGATTCAAACAAACCTCAAAACGAGAAAAATTGGGCATATTCTTCAAAGATGAGATGTCGATACAACTTCCACAACTAGTCAACAACGTCAGTTTGAAGGCATAATTGAACATCGCATTGACGTTCAAAAAAACAGAAAGGTGATGTCATTCAGCTGTGACTCACTCACGTTATTCAGACGTCAGTTTGGTTATAATTGAAGGCGTGCTAAGGCGGAATTTGATTTGTTCCACAAACATTATAGACATTTTCTTTCGTGCGCTCCAAGAGATGAGAAAAATGTAGATAAATTATTTCATTCGGAA